AAAAATTTCTATTAGAGAATTCCTACAACTGACAAGTGCCTTCAGTAAAGTAGCAGGATACAAGATTAAAAAAAAATCAGTAGCCCTCCTATATACAGATGACAAAATGGATGAGAAGGAAATCAGAGAAACATTACCCTTTACAATAGCCACAAATAACACAAAATATCTTGGGGTAACTCTAACCAACAAAGTGAAAGACCTGCATGACAATCTTTAAAGAAAGAAATTAAATAAAATACAAGAATGGAAATATCTCTCATGCTCTTGGAAAGGTAGGATCAACATAGTAAAATGACAATCTTAACAAAAACAAACTACACATTCAATTCCCATCAAAATCCCAGCACAATTCTTCACATACCTTGAAAGAGCAATACTCAACTTCATATGGAAAAACAAAAAACCCAGAATAGCCAAAACAACCCTGTACAATAAAGGATCATCTGGGGGTATCCCCATCCCTGACTTCAAGCTCTAATATAGTTATAATAATAAAAACAGCTTGGTAATAGCATAAAAACAGACAATGGAATCACATTGAACACCCCGATATCAAGCCACACACCTACGAACACCTAATTTTTGACAAAGAAGCTAAAAATGTAAGACAATAAAAGAAAACATATTCAAGAGAATGCAAGTAGATCCATATCTATTGCCATACACAAAACTCAACATCAAATGAGTCAAAAACCTCAATATAAATCCATCTACACTGAATCTCATAGAAGAGAAAGGAATACATTTGAATTCATAGGCAAAGGAGATCACTTCCTGAACATAACATTAGTAGCACAATCACTGAGAGCAACAATTAATAAATGGGACCTCCTATAACTATAGTTTCTGTAAAGCAAAGAACACATTCAAGAAGACAAAACAGCTCCATAGACAATGGGAAAAGATCTTCACCAACATAACATCTGATAGATGACTGATCTCCAAATTATACAAATAATTCCAGAAACTAGACATCAAACTAACAAATAATCCAATTTAAAAATGGGGTACTGATGGGGGAAGTCCTTCTGTGTATATGTTTGTCTGATTGGTATAAATAAAGTACTATTGGCCAATAGGGAAGAAATATAGTAGGATTAGGTGTTGAGGAGGATTCTGAGAAACTGACGCGCAGTCAGTCGTGATGTAGGATGCGGAGAAGTAATAAGTCCAGATCCTTTCTCCAGTAAGAGAAGATCACATGGAAATATTAGATTAGCAGTTATGGGTTAATATTTAAGTCAGAGTTAGCCGATAAGAAATCAAAACAAACGGCCAACAGCTTCATAATGAATATAGTGTCACAGCATGTATTACTTGCCCAGGCTTAGACAGTAGTGGGACCCAAGCATCTGGCAGGAACACTATATGTACAGGGTACATATCTAAACAGAAAAGTCTCAACAAATCAATCTCAAATGGTGAAAAGACACTTAAGGAAATGCTCAGCATCCTTAGTCATTAGTGAAATGCAATCAAAACCACCCTGAGATTTCATCTTACACCAATCATAATGGCTAAGTTCAAAAACATCAGTGACAGCTTATTCTGGAGAGAAGGTGGAGAAAGGGGAACACCTGCATTGCTGGTGGGAGAGCAAATTTGCATAGCTGTTGTGGATGTTAGTACGGAAATTTCTCAGAAAATTAGGGATCAACCTACCATAAGACCCTGAAATATCACTTTTGGTCATATATACAAATGAGACAATTCACACCACAAGGACATTTGCTCAACCATTTTCATAACATTATTCATAATAGTCAAATCTTGGAAATGACCTACATGCCCCTCAACTGAAGAGTGGTTAAAGAAAATATGGTATACTTACACAGTGGAGTACTGCTTGTCAGTAAGAAACAAATTAACCAGCAAATGGTAGAGAAAACCATCCTGAGTGAAGTAACATAAAACCAGAAAGACAAATTATAGTATGTACTCATTCATAAGTGGATACCAGACATAAAGCAAAGATACCCAGGCTACAATCTACAACTTCCAGAAACAGAGGTAGTAGATGCAGAAATCCACAACTAACCAATGGGAGTACAATTGAAGTAAGGGAGGAGCAATAATATGAACAGAGGAGGAGCAATAATATGAACCCATAGAAAACTCATAGAAATAACTGATCTGAGCTAGATCACTGACTCAGGTGTGACAAATAGGGAACATTCATAAGACCAAACTAGACTACCTTAGGATAGGTGACAGTGGTATGACTGGGACTAAATATGAAGCCACTGGCAATGGGTTCAAGATCTAACACTAATGCACAAAATGTCTTATTGGAGCCCATTCTATATGGAGAGATAATTTGCTCAGCCTACACACAGGGGTGTGGTTGTTGGAGAAGTGCCTTTGTCCTGCCTCAATGAGATGATAAGACAGACTTAGTAGATTTCTTAGGGGAGGCATTGCCCTCTTTGAGGAGAGGATGGGAGGTGGGGAGTGGTGGGGGGAGTGGACAGAGAGGAGGGAGGGGGATATGGGCTTGGAATGCAAAAAATAAATTAATAAAACAATTTAAAAGTTTGTATCCTGAAAATACCATCCCCATTTCAATGACGTGAACTGCTTTATACTAAGATGAACATTAGGCTGTGATGGGTCTTTTCTCATTAATAAAATGATGTTCTTCTCCCAAGATTAGGTTAATTACTATTTAATTGGATGTTTTTAAAATATGCTACTTAATGTATACCCTACTTTGGGTTATGCTGCTCTCACTTCCTCGATCTCAACTTCTCTTACCTTTCTGCCAACCATCATGGGATGACTAAGTGAAAGGCCCTTGAAAGACACCAATTTCATGCTCTTAGATGTCCTAATGTCTAGGATGTTTTGTTATGTCTACTGCAAACTGACTAATTTAAGATGACCATCTGTGGGGGGAATGTGATAAATTAAGCGTGAGTCTTATTAAAGTGTCTATTAGTCATTGAATATCAAAAAATTCTAAGTTGAGATATGACATTTGTTAGTCAACAGAATTTCAGAAGTTTTAGAATCTATAGTTCTGAATGAGGTTAACCAGTGAACGTAAATAGAGAAGAGCACCAAGTCCTCCATCCTAAAACTCTCCAATATTAAAAGAGGGAGTGGTCGAGGAGGCCACACAATGGGAACCATTTATGTAGGAGTAAACATAAAGCATACCCAAGGGAAGAAATGTTAGTCCACTGCTCAATTGAAACCAGAGTTCCGAAAAGATAAGTGTGTGGCTGAAATTGATCTACTAGCCACTTTGGCTCATATGAATACATACACTCTTTTGTGGAGTTTGAAGGCAAAGTTCCTCACGTACATAAAGGAATAAAGCTTCCATTTCAGTAGCTAAAAGCACAGATCCAATTCACCTCATTAAAAGCTATTAGAATTATGACCTGTATGTTTTGTACAATTTGTTCTTAAAGCCTCTACCTTATTTAAGTTACCATGTGGGAGATGAAGAATGATTGCTATACCAAGTTCATATGTTATGTTGTACAGAAAAACTTAAAACCTATTTCTGAGGTTAGCTTGTTGGTCTAGTGTTAGCATTCAGGCATCAGTACTGGCCTGTCCTTGGGGTTCTGACAGGATCCTTCTTGAGTTGTAGCCACTAAGAGGACCAGCTGTGAACATTCATTATGTTGACCCATCCAACTCCCTTCTTTCTCTCTCTGCTTCTCTGCCTGTCTCTTTGTCTCTCCTTCTGTCTCCCTCCCTCCCCATATCTTTTCTGCCTCTCTCTACTCTTCTGCTACTCCTTTCCCCAGAGGCAAATCTCTCCTCTCCCATCCTCCCTTTCCCATTCCCTTTCCCCAATAAAATATTTCCATCCAAGCTCAGTCCAAAGGAGTCTTTTACTCTCACAACGCCTTGGGTTTTACTTTTCAAAACTGGTGAATGGATTTCTGTCTAAATCCATTCAGTCTTCTCAATATTAGACACTCTGTGTGATGATCATGGATGGAGAGTGGTGGAAAAGATCCTAGATAAGGTAGAAAAAAGTCATGGTTTCAAAAAGTGAGCCAGTAATCACAGAGGCCTCCACCATTTCATATGAGCAGAGTAGATCATGCTGTTTCTTCCATTGGGTGCAGAAAGGTAAAAGGTAAGGTATTGATCTGTCAAAACTTTAGATAGGTAGGGCAGCTTCACCAAGCTTAAGCACCTAGTTATGACTGGAAATGCAAGGACATGCTCTTGCACAAAATTAACAACAACAATAACAAAAAGAGTTGCATGTTTGCATACGAGCACCAGCTGGCTTATAAAAGTCCAAGAAGTGATGTTCTCTATGTAAAATAGAAAACTCATGTCATTTATTTTTGACAACTTTGTAAAAACTAATGAAGTCTTCATAATGACTATCAGTCAGTAAATTTCTGAATTGTATTAATTTATTTAAACATTTAAAATGGATACTAATAACGTAGTTTACCTTGAAGATTTTCCTCTTTCCCTGTCTCCCTCCATACCTCGCTCACTCCCTCCCTTACTTGCTTCCTCTTCCCATCTCTTCTCTGTTTACTATTTTCTCTTTCGTTCATATTTTTGCCTGGATTCTGGCAATACGATGCAAGTACTAAAGAGCCAATGTGCTGCCCAAAGCACTCTCCCTACCAACAAACATGCTTTCAATACTCCAATATCAGATTTAGGGAACTGGGCATGACCTGAAAACAAGTACTCTCATATATTAGAAAACATTTTAACTTTTCTGGATTGTTTTGTACAAAGCAGAAAAAATCAGTCTCCAATCATCAAATGATAAAAATGAATGTGATAGCATGTATTTTAATCATATTTCAATGCTCAATGCTTCTGTTTTGCATAGTTTGGTTATAAGACTATGCTGGTTTACAAAAATTTCTTGCTGCTGAGAAATGGCTATAGATAATCACTCCTTCATTGTATAAAATAGAACATAATTATGGAGCACTAAAATTATCTGTTTGAAGACTAGCAAAATTTATTTTGAAAAAAGACAACATATACCAAAGGAAAACTAAATTGGCATACTTTAATTCTACAAAAATGTATAAATATTTAAATTTACAGCAAAAGAACAATTATCCCATTTAGCAATGCTTACACCATTTAAAATGTTTAAATCATTATGCACAATCTACTTTTACAAATGTTAAAGACTATGTGGAACATGTCTAAACATTTTTGAGATTATGTTCTCTAGCTGTGACTACACTGGTTTTAAAAGCAGAAGATCCCTATCTCTCTCAAAAAAGTTCTATGATGATGGATTCCTCCTTCTCCTTTGTGCTATTTTTAGCTTAAAGTGAAACAGGAATCAAGCATTTGAATCTTTAAATTTTTAAGTTCACCATTGAACACAAGATGAAAATTTCATTTTTCAAACATCTGTTTCAGATACATTTTAGTTGGAGCCTTATCTAGTATTTTGTTTTCATTCTAATCCAGTCAACAAGGGAGAATGATTCATTCTCCATTGTTAACAATGGCAGTAAACCATTACTGAAATAATGATGAGCCAGTTATCACAGAGTGGTCTTCATCTTAAATATATTGGCAAAAGATGGTGCCAAATCACTACTCTATCAGGGGAGACTTTAAAAACATACAAAACGAAAATTTCCTGTTGAATTTATTAAACATGATAAAACAAAAATTGGGGGACAAGTGTATATACCAACTAGTTGAAACAAATTGCTAGAGTCATCCAACATCGTAGCTTTATACAATATTTTCTACTTGATAACATTGTGAACATGGAGTAGTCAAGCCATATACTCCTATACCATACAGAAGAAATGCAGAGTGTTTCTACTCATCTTTCTAACATAATGATGGATAGTGACTGAATATGGAAACCCAAGCTGCCTGATACATTGAATTCCTTCTGCCCAACTTAACTGGACCTTGAGTCAAGCTTTGAAATTCTCAACTGTACAAAATAACATCTTCAAGGATAATGATTCAATATGGTGAGGTCTTTAACTTTTTCATATTTGTTCAAATCATTATACCTGCAATTTAATAATGCATTGGATTTTGCCCCTTCTGAAGCTAGAGCTTGAATTCATATATAAGATATAAATATGATAGCTATGACTATGCTTGTTCACTTCTCAAATGTAGTAACAATATGTATGGGAGCAAATCAATATTATGAAGTTTGCTGAACCTCTCACTAAATTAAAAAAATTGTTAAAAACCACTTAGGTTATTTTATAGTAGCAGTTTACTTTTCCCTCCTTGATTTTTCTTATTATTTATTGTACTGTTTCTAAGCACTTCAGGAGAAATCAAATTTACATGTTAGGTTTGTAACAAAGTGACACTGGGAAGCCTAGAAATATGTTCTAGTTTCTAGGTAGTCTGCAAAACTGCAAACACAGAAATCATCCAATGTTCACAGGAACAGAAGGTTTAATACTCTGCAAGCTGTAGGTCAGCCTTATTTTAACTTGAGGGGAATTGCAAGGAAACAGACTAAATAGAGTTCCACCAGTTATAACTAAAGAGGACTGATGCTGCCTTCCTTAAACCATTTGCTTACTGATGGTGTTGGTTGCATTGTAGTGTAAACATCATATTTTTATGGAAAATCTTCACTGTGCTGCAGGTCTTCTCCTATTGTCTGTGGTCTTATTTTATTTGACAAATTTTATGGAAGTATAAAAGAACAGTACGATTGAAATATTTCTAAAGAATCAAGTTACAAATAGGAGAGTTTTAATGAAGGAATTTTTTCATTATTGTGCCCTTATATATTTTTGGCAGTGTTTTAGTAGTCCTGGCAGCATTGTTTGTACCTCTATCGTCCTTGGGCAAAATGCAGTATACGTTCATGGATCAGTTTTGTTATCTATAAACATAGAAGCTAATGGCATAACATCTTCATTGTTTTAAGTTTTCTATAATATATCTTGTTAATAGAGTTTTACTTTGAAAATAAACTTTATATAGTCATCATCAAAAATGAAAATAAATATGATTTTTCAAAGATTATACTTATCTCTTTCCTAGAACTCAAATTCTTAGCCCTTCTGAGATCAGGCTAACACAACTGAAACTCTGATACTTAATTATTTTTAGTTAAGTAAAGCAACCTATATCTTACAGCAGCATTTTAATAAAGTGGCATATTTCATTTCCATAAGGCAGGTGATTTTAACACAGAGGACAACATATAGTCCACATTTTAACATGAATTATATTAGGAAAAATTAACATTTGAAAACAAAGCTCTGAAAGTTCTCTAAAGACATTACTGAAAAGTAAAGTTGCAAGTATGAAAACATGTGATACAGCTTAACAACTTTAATACTCTCAATTTCATTACTTCAACATGTGTACTTACTATATGCCAAGAGCTAACACAAGAATCTGAACACAGCTATGGACAAAACTTGCCATAAAAGGCCTTATATGACTGGGTGTGTAGATCAGTGATAGAGTATTATTAACCTTGCAAAGATGTACTAAAACAAAGTACCTAAATAAATGTAACTGTTTTCCCCAGTGAGTGTTGGAGCATGAGACTTGCAGAAACTAATGTAAATAAAACCACAGACTTATTTTGGTCAAAAGGATAGGACCTAGAAATCACAGACAGGACAAGAGTTCACTGTTTGAATAGAAACCTAAAGAAATGAAGTGAATGACATCTTTGGGGCAGACAGAACCAACATTAAAGCAGAAGCTTGCTTGGCAGCCAGTACGGCATAATGAAAGGCAAGATGATAAAAGATTAAGAAACATAGATGTCTACACATGTGCATACATACATATGTGTGGATGATATGTTGTGCACATATAGACTTGCAGAGAGTATGTGCGTGTATGTTTGTTGACTGTATTTGTCTGCATATAGAGACATGAGGGCTATTAAATGAGATGAAAATTAATTGGAAGATTATATTCAGGGAAATATAAAAATTCATGTTAAACATTATCTATGTGGTTATTATAATTAAGGAAAGAAGTGTAGCACTGGGTAATAACTGGTAAAAATGAGACAAACATACTTATATGCATACTGTATATAATTTTGAATCTCAGAAATAGTAACATACGGTGAATTTGGTAGCAAATTAATGGTTTCTGGTTATATACCAAAGAGAGCATCAAGTTAATCTTCAAATGATTAGATTCAATTTGTCCAACCTTTTGATATTGCAACACGATGTTTTCACCTACAAAATCAACACTTGATAACAATAAAGTCAGTTATCAAAAAAGTGAATATATCCAAAAATGTTTTGAACAAGTTTAAATTTTTTCTTGGACTAAGTCCTAGTTAATTTTGCTGCAGGAAGTTTCATGCAGATGGTGGGCCACAGGTAAGACAGGCTTAAAAAGTTTGAAAAGAAAGAAGTCAAAAGTGACCTTACATATTTTACATGTGTATTTATGCTTGTGCACACATTTGCAAGCGTTTAAGTGTATTCACATGTGAAAGCTAGAGGTCAATCATAGACATCATCACTTGATGTTAAGGACACAGTCTTTCATTTAGCCTGGAACTTGCCAATTAAGCTAAGCTGGCTGACTAGGAAACTCAAGGAATGCACATTCTTCATCTCCCAAGTTGCAATGATTAAAAACACTTGCCACCACATTGCTCTTTTAAAAATGGGTTCTTGTAATCTGTCTACGATCTTCATGCTGAAGGCAGGGGGTCAGGGAAAGCACTTTGCCAACTGTGTCTATTATTCCTCAGTTCTCAACTTTCTAGTTTTGGCATGAATGTTCAGAAGGTGGAAATTGCATTTGTTATTATGAGATAAACCCAGAGGAATGTATAGACTGAAGCAATTGAAATATCTACTAGCCCAGATCAATTTCAATTGTGAATGTGTGTGTGAGAGACTCATTGTGATTCCAATCAAGATTTTAATTTTCTTTACTGAAGGCAAACATTCTTGAAAATCTCAAATCTTTCCAATTTTGATGGTTTGTATTGTACTATCCCTCCACACTCTATATTCTTTCTTTTTAGATACTATGTGCATATATCCAAATCATGCGATGAGTCTTTGAGAATTCTTTTCATGTATTTCACTGCGAGCAGAAGAAATTTTAATTTACATAAAATGCTGCTGAAATTTACTTCCCATTAAGTAATTGTATTCTTTTAAAATGTTACCAACCACTCTCTCTACATGTGGATTTTTTTTTGCGGTAAGTGGAGCATGTTACATAACAAACTCTTGAGAGTCTACACTTCCTAATTTACAGAAAATCCCCATATAGGGGTATTTCATGCTATTATAGTCAGAATCATAAGAGAATGTGTGAGAAGAGACTAAAAACAGAAAATGGGTTTGTTGTCGGTTCTAGTTGACTTAGTGGTTGTGATCAGTTTAAGGGTCATTATCTCTTGAAAGCCATGGGTATCTTCCTGTTAGATGTAGTAGTATCAACTATGTCTATCCTAGGAATAAAAGCCCTAATGTTCAGTGTTTTGTCTAAAATTTTGAGAAACCTAAGAATTACTTGAAGTTCCTGGAGTAAAAGATGCTTGAGCTTTAAGCAGCAAACCTGAAACACTTCAAGTTCAAATTTTTCAGAATTCTAACAGTGTGGAATCAAAGGGGAAAGCCAGCTACATAAATTAACTGGGATTTTTAGGTATTGAAAAAAGTTTATCTTTCTCATTCCTAAGTTGTATATGTGTGTGTGGAGAGTCAGAGGAGAAAGAAAGACAGATAAAGAGAGGAGATAGGGTGGTAAACGAGGTGTAGTTAGCCTTTTAATGCTTTTTCTAGATCATTTAACATCAAAGGTCAAAAGAATGGACTCTGCTCCTGAAGAATCTTCTTCTTGATCTATCTCCATAGTTTTCCTGCCATTCTTAGGTACAAAAATAAAACATACATGTACAACAACTAAATGGTCACTTAAAATGTTATTAAATATAAATATTTACTAATATCCATCACTTTTTTCTTCTTTTTCATAACATCTACTGTGTTCAAAGTGATTTTAAAGTCGGAATAACACATGAAATTCGCCTAATTAAGACTGAGTCAAACATGTCTCCTAGTATAATTAATATCACTTTAATGAATTCTCATGGATTTTGTTTTCCAGTGATCAACATTAGATTTTATAGCATAGCAATAAATTATGACAGTACCATATTTTTTATAAAATACAAAATGCCAGTGATATCACTGACTGAACTAAAAGTGATAGAACTTCACATCCAGTTCTAGAGTGAAGGGCAAAGGTGTATGGAGACAGAGGGCAGCTGAATTCAAACCCTGACATCAGCTCCCAGAGCAAGACTGTCCTCAAGTTGAGTTGGAAGTGAAGATTCTCTCTCAGTATTCTTGGAGATTATATTCTACTTGTCCTCCTTGATATCTGACTTATTTCTCTTGTCATTTGACTTAAAATTATTATTTAAATTGAATATTTAATTTTTATGTGGTATGAGGATTTTATGTTCTACAAATTAAGCAGCAAACTTATTTTTTTCCTTGTACTGAACATTTGGTGTCAATGAATTTAATGACCATGAATTATTTTATATGTACTCCAATTGTTAGCCCAGAAATTCACCATGGTTTCATGAAGATTTTGTAAGAAAAAAAGCATTTTACAAAGCATTAATAATATTTCATAATTAAGATATAATATAAGGCATTACATGATCTCTCTTTCCATCATCATTACAACACAAAGTAAGCCAACCTCAAGTAACCCTATGACAAGAGGGATAATGAAGACAGTATAAAGCAAACATAAAGTGTGTATTTTTTCTCAAACAGTTCAAAGGTTTAATAATGGTTTCCTATTATATATATTTTATGTGCTTCTTCAATCAGATACAAATTTTAGTAGGGAAATAAACATTCCTAAAAATTAATTATAAACAACTGTGTTTTAGAATACTAAAAGTATTTTTAAAACTTTTAATTCAGCAAAGTTAATATTTTCACCAAACTGAAACAATGGATAAACAAAAGTGTAGACTTTCATGTTCTTGGAAGAAATGATCTTCATGCTCCCAAGGTCATGTTCCTCAGCAGCCATTGTTGAGATCTGCTGCCACTGCAGTCCTGCATGGTAGGCACCATTTTGTCTTCTTCAGAAGGTTCATCAAGACATTGATTACTGTTAACATGTCTCAAAGTGAGTCTCTGTAAAAGACAAACAATGATCAGTAGCTTATTAGCATATTAGATTAAAGCTGCTATTCAAAAGTATTCTCTATCATTTTAACTTATAGCAATATTACGTGTTTCAAAAAGGAACTATGTAAATGTATCTCTACATTACATATACAACGTTGAGCATAAATTGATAGTCATTGGCTAATACCCCACTATTTGAACATGGTTAAAGAAATTGGCTGATATTTACTACAGGTTGAGGAAAATTCAAACATCTTTGTCAAAAGCTTATTAATAAACTTGGAGTTTATTTGAAGGTGACAAATATCAATAAACTTATGAAGAATCTTAGTTTTCAAGACTTGTGTTAGTCAGAAACAATTAGAAAAACACAAAAGCCAACCACACAACATTTATTCAAATAAACAAAATAGCTAGAGATGATCCCATTAAAAACTACTAAACTACAGTGTCTTAAAAATTAACTGTAATCAGTATAGCCAGAGATAATCAATCTTACTTCATGGGATGCTTACCATGTTTATGGATCTACAAATTTATTAATATTAATTTAAATCATGGATGAAAACATGCTTTCTTGTCTTCACAGTTCAAATAATTACAACATGTTTAGTCATCACAGAGCTTTTCTTTCCATTTGTAATGAAATTAACTTTCAGGGACTTCACATGCCAGCATATTTTAAGGCCATATGCTTTGAACCTCTTAATTATATATTAGTTTGCTAATTTCATGGACCATGCCCAGAAACATAGGAAAAGACCACTAACTTAAAATGTTCTCACATATGTGTGATTTGTAAGTAAATCTTGAAAATTGTATGCTAAACATTATTTTTGAAAATTAACAAAATTAAAAGTTGGGAACTTCTTTTTTTACAATTTTATTTGCTCTTGATATTATGTTGGGGGGTATGTATGGTAAATATGTAGAGAAACACCTGGAACTCATTCCCTGTTATAAGAGAAAATAGAACAGATGTTAGGCTGCTGGGAAAGATCTCTCTCTGACAGCAAGCAGGAAATTAAATGGCTAGGCGATTAAAATGAAGGTGATGTCAATATTGAGACCTTTGTTGTCATTTTTTAATACAGAGTATCAAGCCATTTTTAGTAAAAAAAAAACAAATGAAGTAGAAAAGAAATGGCTTAAGATTGTACTAAGATGGCCGTTTTATTCTTCAGGTAACAGGAGGTTCAACCATTAACCAGTTCGAAAAATCAGATACAAAACTAAACAAAATCATTATTTTCCTTTTAAAAAAATTGCAAGCAGTAAAAGAATCATTTCTCTCTCTCAAAGTTGAGTTAGCTTATATGTACATTTCTCCTTCAGAAAAGCACTTACCATTGCATAGTTCTCATAGGTGCTTTTTAAAAAACAGATTTTTTATTTAAATCAGAAACAAGCTTGTTTTACATGTCAATCCCAGTTCCCTCTCCATCCCCTCCTCCCCTGCCCCCCACTAGCCTCCTATCCCATCCCCTTTCTGATCCCCAGGGAGTATGAGGCCTTCCATGGGGGGCCTTCAATGTCTGCCAAATCATTTGGAGCAGGGTCTAGGCCCTCCCCCATGTGACTAGGCTGAGAGAGTATCCCTCTGTGTGGAATGGGGTCCCAAAGTCCATTCATATACGAGGAATAAATACTGATCCACTGCCAGAGGCCCCATAGATTGCCCAAGCCTCCTAATTGACACTCATTATCAGGGCGTCTGGGTTTGTTCTATGCTGGTTTCCCATTTTTGCATTTATTGAGTAGGTTATCACACATTGACTTATACAATGTACTGCCATTACTTTATTGTATTGTAATCACTTATTACAGTACTGGAATGATTTGATAAATTACCTTATGTCATATTAGGATAAAGAGTTTTAAAGATTTACATAGTATAAGCTTTTTAATGACGCAAATAGTATAGCCTCTGTAAAAAAAGTATTACTAGTAAAAACCCACTTCTCCCAAGGTAACAAATGAGCAACAACAGCAGCAAAGGTCAGCTCTGGATAATGCAGCACACTAGAAATCCATTTCACACTCAAGAATTCCTGAATGTGAAGTCACTTCTCTATTTTACCAGCTAAGGGCACTGGGGAAAGCTACCCAAACCATTGTAAAGACTCTTCTTCTTCATTGTAAAACTCTGAGTTACATTTAACAAATATTTACACATTTCCTTCTCTTCAAATCAACCATTTGATCTTCAGTGAATGAACTCTAGGTCCTTAGAAAGCAAATAAGAACAACAGTGTTAACTATGTGTTTAAGCAAAATAACATGGTTTTTAAAAAATTACCTATATAATGTACATATGTATGTCTGACAGGAAGCAAACTATGGTAAGAACAAAAACTTGTAGATTGGATTCTGGGCATTGTGTCTATGGAATTGTTCTTTTCAGAGTTAGTTATCATCTACTTTGAGAACAAGTCTATTCAGCATGGTTGGTTTCCTCAATGGCCATATGGAAAACTCAAAACCTTGTGCCAGAATATGGCCTTTAGAAAACCTAGCTACCTTCCAGAAACTACAGAAAGTGATGAGGTAGCTGCTCCAGGATTTCCTGCTGAGAGATTTCTGTCCTAGCATTCGGTGACAGATTCATAATATTAAATGTTTTTGTGCCCAAACATTCTTTTAAGCATGTACACAGAAGATATGAAGGCTTAGAAAACAAACTCAAGTATTACATGTAAATTGCGTTGTGAATATTCCTCTTCTTGCAAATAGTCATGGCTACTCCAACTTCTCCATCTCTTATTTGGGTTGTCCATCACTCAAATGCACTGTAATCCAAAGAATACCTGTTCTGCCTTCATGTTTCTCTCCTTGCTTCTGTCCATAGCTGTGACAAAAGTTGTGATGCTCAGTTGTGTGCCAATAGCTTTAGGACGTTTACTGGAAACCTCTAGAATCCCTTATGTGTTCCAACAGCCAGAAACTGAACATTTCAAAATCACTTACTTATTGGTATGTAAAAAATATAAAAATTCTTTTATTTGTACTGTTTACAAAATTATGCCAAAGCCTTTTATTGACTTGAACTTAATAGAAATTCACTTGGTTATTTAGTGAGAAGATAGTCACAAATTATGCAAGTGATAAATAAAATTACTTTTTTGAAGATCTTTGATTCATATAATTATATCTCCTATCTAAGCACAGAAGATATGATTTTTTCATGAACTGCTGAAGATAACTTAGCTTTTATTATAGGATTTACTTAGTGTCTAAGAATAAAACAATGGTAATTTATAAAAGATGTGAATATGTGGTTTACACACACACACACACACACACACATACCCACATACACATACACACCACAGAGTCGAATCATCTGCATAAAAAGTAACAAAACTAAATAATTGAAAATTCCAAAATAATTCATTTTTAACATATGTTATACTTAGTCATATTTTCACCTTTGACACAGTCTGTTTTCATATAGACATGGCTATTGTTCTGTTGAAACAAAATAAATATTTCACAAAATATTTAACCCACTATATTCACAGACATATATATATATATTTGAAATAAAACTGGAAAATATGTTTTTGTTAATGGTAAACCAATTGTTACTTAAAATATCAAGTCTCCAAATTAATGAGTATTTAAGAAGTAAAAATTAGAAAAATAACTCCATAAAATGATTTACTAAAACTTCAGATTTTGATAATTAAAATTACTAAATTTAAGAAGTAAATTTAAGAGGTAAATTTAAGAAGTCTGAAACACAAACCTCTACAAATCACTAAAGAAAAAAGTCACCAGTCAGATTTCCAAAAATATTTCTAAAAACTTCTGCTCTTGTATAATTTCTTAGTAGCCATTTTTGCGAAGTGCTATCATTACAGGTCTCCATGGTAGGATGTTGGGAGCCATCTGCCACTTTGCTTATTGATAAGCAGGACTGCATAATTATGTGAACAAAAGTGTGGGTCTGTTTGACAAAGAAAATAATGAATAATGACAAATCCATTACAAAGGCAATAATAAATCAATCATCGCAGACAACATACAATTTTTCTAGAAAAGGATGGGAGACACACATCACAATAATTGTATCCATGAAGAAGTGAGTGGCAGCCTTTCAGATGGCTTTAATACCAGCTTGGCTCAGTAGAAAAAGTGGAGTTAAGACAGATTATTAAGAAATAATTTGACATCAGATCATGAAACATTTCAGACAAAAGTTATTTTGACAGAATTTTGTTCTCATAAACTTATAATAAATACATTTTAGTGCCAAGTGAGTTGTTTTGAGGGAGGTTATTAAAAAAAATGATTAACACATAGAGTTTTCTCCAATATTAGGGTCCTCGTATGTTTGCCTCTAGTTGGAAAGGATACCAAAGAGACTATTTGAGATGATTTTCTTTTATATTTTCATAAGCTGGAATTTCTTAGGAATCCACACATAAAATGACATACTCATTAGATATCATTGCAGAGTACATGAAGGGAAAGAGAAGGAAAAGATCAAATCCCTTGTGATTCCCAAGTATATGCTCAAGATATAATATAAATCATCCACTCCAGGGCTAGCACAGAAAAATACTAAATAATTTTTTAATCAAATCATTAACTAAGGCTAATGCAGAAAATAAATTCTATTGAAGTAAACTCCAATTTGTAGGCAGTGAATGAATGCAGTCACTGGATTCACCTTGTCAAGGTTTATCCGCTATGAAGAAATGGTGTGCATTGATTTTCACAGTCAGAAAAGGTATCCTAAAACATCGTATCTTACCTATCAAATGATGCTGCCTGAAACACTGTTTGGCTATCTTTCTTTACTAAATATAGAGTGTCTACACTGTTTAAATTAGGCAACATCATCTGCTGTTAATTGATTTTTCTTACTGCTTTGAACTTTGCCTAGAAAATGGCAAGTTAATACACAAAACTCTTTTGTTCAAAATTATAAAGTTCATGCATCATTACAATGAAAAAAATGAATTAGGAAATATTTTTAAAAGCTATAAATCAAGAGAAAA